TTTACTATGACCAAATGGGATTTATTGCAGGAATGCAAGGCTGGTTCAACATTCAAAAATCAATCAGTGTGATCTACCCTATTAACAGGATAAAGAAGAAAACCGTGTGATCATATAAATCAATGCAGAAAAAGCATTTGAAAAAATTAAACATCCATTTATGATAAAAACTTTCAGAAAATAGGAATGGAGGAAAAGTTCCTCAACCTGTTAAAGACCACTTACGAAAACCTACAGCTAACACAAACTTAGTGGAGAAAGATTGAATGCTTTCCCCCTAAGACTAGGAACAAGGCAAGGATGTCCACTCACCACTCTTATTCAACATAGCAGTGGAACTTCAGCCAGTGCAAGAAGGCAAGAAGAGGAAAGAAAAGGCATGCAGATTGGAAAGGAAGAAATAAAACTGTCCCTACTTGCAGATGACATGATTGCCTACATAGAAAATCCCAAGGAAACAACACACACCAAAACCCCTCCTCGAATCAATAATTTAGTTCAGTAAGGTTGCAAGATACAAGATAAACATAGAAAAATAAATTGTATTTCCATATATTAACAGGGAACACATGGACACCAAAATTAAAACTACAATGCCATTTACAATTGCTCAAAAAAAAAAAAAAGAAATACATAGGTGTAAATCTAACAACACATGTATAGGATTTGTATGCTGAAAACCACACAACCCTGATGAAAGAAATCAAAGATCTACATAAATGGAGAGACATATTGTGTTTGTGGATTGGGAAACAACACAGTAAAGATGACAGTTATTCCCAAAGTGATATATAGGTTTCACACAACTCCTATAGAAATCCTAGCAAGATTTTGGCAGATATAGACAAACAAGATTATTCTAAAATTTATAGGAAAGTGTGTGTGCTCTGCTGCAGCAGCCCGGGGTTTGGATCCCGGATGCGCACCAACGCACCGCTTGTCAAGCCATGCTGTGGCAGCGTCCCATACAAAGTGGAGGAAGATGGGCACAGATGTTAGCCCAGGGGCAGTCTTCCTCAGCAAAAACAGGAGGATTGGCATGGATGTTAGCTCAGGGCTGATCTTCCTCTCTCTCTCACACACACACACACACACACACACACACACACACACAAACAACAATGAGATACCACTAACATCTATCAGAATGGCTAAAATAAAAATATTGACAATGTCAGATGGTGGCCAGGATATAGAGAAATTGGATCACTTCATACATTACTAGTGGGAATGCAAAATGGTACAGCCACTCTGGAAAACAGTTTGGCAATTTCGTGAAAAACTAAGCATGCAACTATCATATGACCCAGCAATTGCGCTTCTGGGCATTTATCCCAGACAAATGAAGACTTATGTTCACATAAAAACCTGTAAATAAATGTTTATGGCAGCTTTATTTGTAATAGCCCCAAACTGAAAGCAAACCACCTGTCCTTCAACAGGCGAATGGTTAAATAAACTGTGGTTCATCTATCCTATGGAATACCACTCAGCAATAAGAAGCAACAAACTATCAATACACACACCAACCTGGATGAATCTCCAGAGAACTAACCAGTGAAAAGAGCCAATACCAAAGGTTACATACTCTATGATTCTACTCATATAACTTCTTGAAATGACAAAATTATAGAAATGGAAAACATTGTGGGTGGCTATAAGAGAGCAACATGAACGATCATTGTGATGATGAAATTGTTCTGTATTTTGACTGTGTTAATTTCAATATCCTGGTTATCACAGGGGGGAACTGGGTAAAGGGTACATGGGTTCTCTCTGTGTTATTTTTTACAACTGCATGCGAATCTACAATTATCTCATATTAAAAAGTTTAATTTAAAAAAGAAAGCAAATAGAATCACACAATTATCCTGTTTTGCTCCTTGCTCTTTTCTCTCATTATATCTTAGACCCCTTTCCATAGCAGTGTGTATGGAATTACCTCAATAGGGATTTAACTGACTGAATTATGATGCATCCATACAGTAGAATTCTACACAGTGTTTTATGGATGTACACTAATTTATTCAATTAAATCCCTACGGATGAGCATATACTTTGTTTCTTTTTTTGGCACAGATGTGCCAATCTTCCTCTCTTTTGTACATAGGACACTGCCACAGCATGGCTGGTGAGTGGAGTAATGTCCGCGCCCAGGATCTGAACCAGCGAACCGGGGCCGCCAAAGTAGAGCACGGAGAACTTGAACCACTGCGCCACAGGCCGGCTCATTACTTTGTTCTTGACTCTTGCTGTTACAATGTTTCAACAAACACTGCACATGAGTCTTTGCACATCCCTATTAATCTCTCCATAGGATAAATGCCTAGAAGTGGAATTGCTGGGTCAGTGGGTACATGCATTTATAATTGAGACAAATGTTGCCAAATGACCCTTTAGAGACCCTCTAAATGACCTCTAAAGGGTCGTATAACAAAAAATAGATTCTTTTCTAGAAATTTTTGTATCATGAATATTGCAAAATACAGACAAGTACACAGTATCGTGTACCTACCACCCAGCCTTATTAAAATTACACTTTGGTTCTGACTCTTAGATTAGACCTGACTTAAACAGATTAGATCTAAGATTAGACTTTAGATTAGATCTAACTCTTAGATTTATAGTTTGGATGTAAACTGTTGTCCTCACTTCAGGTCCCCGTAGTAGCAGGAACGGTGGTGTTTTTACCTACTTTTAGGGAAGGAAACATGAATAGCCAGGTAAGCACTTAGAAGCCACCCACTGCTTAGGGAATTTTGCATGTTTTGGAGTAGCAGTTTTCAGACTGGGGGTAAATATGTCCTGAGGAGTACTCAAACAGTTTCCAAGGGGAGGCAGGCATTGATGGTTTTAAGCGAATCAAGTTCCACATTCCCCTCTTTCACTAGACTCTTTCCTAAAGCTAACCGCCCGAGAATATGCCTGTTTCTGTTCTCCCAAAAGAAATGCATCTCCCCCAACCCGTCTACACAGCCTCACTGGAACCTACTTCACTTGTTTATTTGTTTCTATCAGGTATTATTAAATTTAGATTAACTTTAGGGGAAAATGTAGTGGATTCTACTGTAAATAATGCACACAACAGCAATCATTGATACATATAATTTAGTAATGCCCCGAACTTGAGAAAACAGCCTCATTTTATTGAGATTAACCCTTCTTTCTTAAATGTTGATATGCTCTTCCAATTCTGTAAATGCATATTTATAAACATCACTGATTTCAACTATCAGATTAAATTGTTAATCTAAATAACAGTTCACAAGTGTTCAGTTTTATCTATCTGTCATGAATATACAGGTCTTTGATCACAATCCCTGTTTTTATGGAATTGTCATTTCTACCCCAGTTTCATCTAATTTTAGCTCCATAAACCAGGCACTTCTAAATCTAAGAGTAAGTGGTATAATAATCACTTAAGTTTTAGGAGAGCCTTCCCAGATATTGAGAAAGCGAATGACTCTAGTGACTGGGTAAACACTCCTTTTGAAAGTCAGGTGATTCTTCATTCTTTGTTTTTAACATTATTGAATCTAACTGAATTGTTCACTGATGGAGTACTGAAAAGAATTTTTTTTTTTTTTGAGGAAGATCGGCCCTGTGCTAACATCTGCCAATCCTCCTCTTTTTTTGCTGAGGAAGACTGGCCCTGGGCTAACATTTGTGCCCATCTTCCTCCACTTTATATGGGACGTCGCCATAGCATGGCTTGACAAGTGGTGCGTCGGTGCACGTCCGGGATCTGAACCAGCGAACCCCAGGCCACCACAGCGGAGTGCGCGCACTTAACCACTTGTGCCCCAGGCCTGGCCCCTGAAAAGAATTTTCAAAGAAAGATCTCTAGGTGATTTTAGCATGTAACTTGGAAGGAGTTTAAGAAATTGACTGATGTTGCCAATAACCTAAGTCCTTCCATTCTTAACTACTTACATAAATGAACAAGTTTTCTCAGGACTTTACATCTATAAAAACAAAAAATAGGTCCAGAATTGATGTGGATCCCTGTCTCATTCAGCTATATTCATGCACAGAGACTTGGACTAATTAAAAAAAAAAACACAGCTCCACATATTTCATTAGGAGATATGTTTCCATGTCCATTTTATTTTCCTTATTTAATAATTATGCACCAAAATGTGCGATGTTTTATGCTATTTTTATCAATTGTGTACCACTACTTATAGTAATGATAACTCAATCCAAAAGACCTAGAGCATTAGGGTCACGGTAAAACAAAACTTAAAAAAATTTTTTTTCAATATATCTACTGACTGCAAGATATTAGCCACTTACTAGTCCAGTGACCTTGGGGAAGTTACTTAATCTCTCTGATCTTCCTTTTTTTAAAATTTTCAAATGGGAATAATACTAGTTCATAATTCATACCTTTGTCATGAAAACTTGGAAGCGTTAACATATTATGTGGGCAAATGGCATGGAAATTCAAATGACGTAAAATTTCTGATTTACTGACCTACAGGTTAATAAGAGCTCTTATTTTTATATTTTAAAATATGGATGGTGGTAGGTATTAAACTGCTAAGGTATTTAAATTCCACTGGCTAATTTAAAAGAGTGATTAATGGTTTTATTTTAAAATGTCAATATTTGCAATATGCTAGGAATTACATCTTTTGCAACTCTTGATGATGAGAAATTGTGTCAACTAAATGTATGGGGAGTTAGTGTTTTTTGGAATTCTTTTACATATATAAGCAAACATCTTAGAAGACCATTGCTGAGAAGTGCTAAGAAGCACTACAAACCCAGAGAGTTGCCGAAATTCAGACCCTACGTAGTGCTGAGTAGGAAAGAAAGGCACTATTACATTTATGCGCTTCCCCAGCTTTGTCGTGAACAGAATTGAATCAACCCGGCCCCGCGTTCCTGCCCTTCACGAAGGCTGTAGTAGCCACTTGCCACCGATAGGTGGCACACGTTAAAAGGCTCCAGGGGGGCGGGCCGCCCGAACACGCCTCTCTGTAGCCCTGTGGTGTCTCTCGGCTTCCGTTGAGCATCGAGCAAGATGGCAGCTTCCGAGACGGTTAGGCTACGGCTTCAATTTGATTACCCGCCGCCAGCCACGCCGCATTGCACTGTCTTCTGGCTTCTGGTCGACCTGAACAGATGCCGAGTGGTCACGGATCTCATCAGTCTCATTCGCCAGCGCTTCGGCTTCAGTTCTGGGGCTCTCCTGGGCCTCTACCTGGAGGGGGGGCTTTTGCCCCCCACCGAGAGCGCGCGCCTGGTCCGAGACAACGACTGCCTTAGGTGCGCGCGGGGTGGGCCGGGCGGCGGGCCGGGGACGCGCGTGCGCATGCCCGGGGGCGCCTGGGCCCTCTGGAGCCCGCGAGGGGGTGGAGGAAGGGGTGGGGGTGGGCATGGGGTGGGGCTGTCAAATTGTATTCGTGAACCAAGAGATTCTGATTAGTCTAGTCAGGTCTGGGGCTCAGGAATATGCATTGTAACGGCCTTCTTTCTCCGGGATGCTTCTGATGCAGCTGGTTGGTGGACCAAACTTGGAAAACCCCGGATCTCGTGTCTGGGCAGGGCGCGTGTTTCTTAAAGCTTGATTTAGGAAACCATCACTTAGCCAGGCGCTGTTTTACTTGTGCGTGATGCAGAAGTGCCTGAGACCCGGCCTTCCCTTGGCGGCTCGCAGGGTCAGGTGCAGGAGACCCACGCAAACCGAGGAGCAGTCGTGTTTTCTTCATAACGTGCAGGTTGTCCATCCTTATGCTCCTGGATAGCCCCTGAGACTTCTGATGGTTGTCATTCTGTGTCCCACTTGGGCGTTTTGTGGTTCACTTAAATAGGTGTTGGGGACTTTTTGGGTTGTGAATTGGGAAACAAAATAGTTTTAAATATGCTTTTGGAAATTTTTAAAAATTGTACTGAGATGAGTATCGAGGAGCAGTTGTGGTATGAATTGCCCATGTGTGGTTGATTTGTCTCAATAAAATGGTAAGACGTGATCATTTCAGTTCAGATGCATATCTTGGACTGATTTATTCAGGGCTTCTTTTTAAAGCTTAAGCTACAGTGAAAAAATTCTAGAGTTGTGAACCACGCTACTTCCTCTTGCTTGCTCTTTGTTGAATATTCCTTTCCCCAGAGCATGTCAGATTCATAAGAGTTCTTCAGAACATCAGGGAATTTAATTGGAACAATTACTACATCTTTGAGTGTGTGTGTCTCTCTCTTAAAATCAGGAATGCTATGACTTATTAATAATGTTTAGCTGTTTCTAATGACAATTTGAAATAAATAGTCCAAATTTCATAAAGAGTTCTTTTTCCTTTTTATTCACTGTGAAATAGATCTCCATTTTCTTTGCAATTCAGGGACTATTTAAATATTACAGTTGTAAGGGCTGCATTCTCTCCTATCAAGTTTACTTTCTAAACTATCCCCTGCCTAATGAATTAATAACTTGCTGCTAGCTAACAGCAGTTATACTTCAATGAATCATCTGGGCATCATACTCTTTATAATGAAATTAACAAGGTCAAAAGCGAACTGTGGAAGCTGTTTTAAGAAATACATACAGCACAATGGCAGGCAGAATTCCTCCTAAACATTTCAAGTGCACAGTTGCATATGGCAAGAAATACCTCTGCAGCTGGCTTCAGTGGTAAATGGGACAGAACTTAGGAAAAAATTGAATTTGGACAAGTTTTGTATGTTTTTGCAGTGTCGTGTCCCCAGTCATTTTCTGTCTTCCCCCGACAGACTCACTTTTTTTCAGAACAGAAGAAAACATATTCTCTTTTCTCAAAGGTACCTAGTGTTGTTGTAGTAGGCGAAAATAACTAGTTTCTTGCTTCTGTATGTTATCTTGTGTGATGCCGGCAGTCGGACTGGACAATTATACTGGGTTATGCTGCTAAGTGCAGAAGATGGTTCAGAAAGGAGAGACCGTTATGGAACACAAATGGTCAGGAAATTTAGCAGTACCTTGAAGAGTGGGTAGGAAATGTTGGATGGCCTAGTTGTGGAGGCAAAAGCTAGCCCAACTTGGTAAAGAGACGAGTCCGACCAGCAAAAGGATACCGTTGGGACTGCTGGGAGTACCGAGAGAAGCCTGATGAGGAAAGGGGGAGCCAGGTTGTGGGAATCCTGAGAAATAACCTGAGAGGGTCAAGAGGCATCTCCACACTTGTATGCCAGGGCTTTTTCCTTACAGCCCATTCTCTTAGGCCCCCAGACTCTGACTTCCTCTGCTCCCAGGCTGCTGACAGTGAGCTCCTGAAGGTGGTCTCCAACTCTCCTGGAAGGAGGAAGGGCCCGCATTTTGCTTGAAGCGCCCGTGTTAGTCTGGTAGGGCTGCTATAACAAAATACCACAGACAGGGTGGCTTAAACAACAGAAATTTATTTCTCACAGTTCTGGAGGCTAGAAGTCCAAGGTTAAGGTGTTGGTAATTTCATTTTTTTCTGAGGCTTCTGTCCTTGGCTTGCAGATAGCTCCCTTCTTGCTGTGTCCTTACATGGCCTTTCCCTGTGCATAGGCATTCCTGGTGTCTCTGTGTGTCCAGATTTCCTCTCTTATAAGGAGACAGTCAGATTGGATTAGGGCCCACCCTAATGGCCTCATCTTAATTTTATCATCTCTTCAAAGGCCCTGTCTCTAAATACAGTTACGTTCTGAGGTACTGGGGATTAGGGCTTCAACATGTGGATTTTGAGGGGACATAATTCAGCCCATAATACCCCCTGAAGAGAGCTTCTCAGAGGCCTGGCCACAGCAACTAGTTGGGAGAGCAACCAGCTGGAGTGGAGATCTCTCTGTTGAGTCATTATGTCAGGAAACAAAATGCGTTCTCTGTTTCACTCTTTTGAGTCTCTGTGGCACTTAATACTTGATTAAATATTAGACATGCATTCTCATTTCATTTTGCTGTAATTAGTAGCTCTTTGGGTAGCCAGTCAAGCCCCTCTGAAATGCCTGTGAGGGCTGGCACGTCTGTGGGGGCTGGCGCGTCTGTGGGGGTTGACATGTCTGTGAGGGCTGGTGGTAGGAATTAAGAAGACAGAGTATCTGAACCAGGCTGACGGCAGTTTGGTTTCCTGAAACCTTGAGTGCCAGAGAAGATACCTGCCATTAAGGTTGCCGATCCTTGTGCAGCACTAGGTCTCTTGACCCTAAATGTTGTTTTGCAGCATGCTAATGGTTTCTGGGATATAGAGTACTGAGAGCTGTTCTCTCTCACTGAGGAGCATGTGTGTCTAACGCCCGTGGGTAAATAGAGACCAGTGGAAGTTAGGCCTGGCTGCTTTCGTCCTGGAACATTTATTTGTAGTCCCTTCCCATTCTTTTATTAAAACAAAAACAAAAAAAGGCTTGTTCTTAAAAAAAATTATCCTTCAAAATAGTTCAAGCTAAAAAGTTTCTTATTTCTCTTCTCAGTACTCTTCCCACACCCCACTCTCCAGAAGTATCCTCAGTTAAGTTTGGGGCATATCTTTCCAGATCTTTTCCATACATATGCAAAAATAGGTACTTATACTTTTAAATACACGTCATCATAATATACATCTTGTCCTGCACCTCACTTTTTTACCTGATGTATCATGGATAGCTTTCATTTTAGTGTGTCTAGTATGTGATGTGCATTCTTTCTATTTACTTATTTATTTATTTTATTTATTTATTTTTTTGTGAGGAAGATTAGCCCCGAGCTAACATCCGTTGCGAATCCTCCTCTTTTTGTTGAGGAAGATTGGCCCTGGGCTAACATCCGTGCCCATCTTCCTCTACTTTATATGGGACGCCGCCACAGCATGGCTTGACAAGTGGTGCGTCGGTCAGCTCCCGGGATCCAAACCTGCGAACCCTGGACCGCTGAAGCGGAGCGCGGGATCATAACAGCGACACCACCAGGCCGGCCCCTGTACATTCTTTTTAAATACCGTATAGTATTCCTTTGTATGATCATGTCAGTTTATTTAACCAGCCCCTTATTAATGAATAGTTAGGTTGTTTTCTTAGTTCATTTGGGCTGCTATAACAAAAATACTATAAACTGGTGGCATATAAACAACAGAATTTTGTTTTTCACAGTTCTAGAGGCTGGGGAGTCCAAGATCAGGGTGCCAGCAGATTCAGTGTCCCGTGAAGGCTCCCTGTCTGGTTCATAGATGGCACCTTCTCACTGTGTCCTCACATGGTGGAAGGGGATTAGGGAGCTCTGTGGGATCTCTTTTATAGGAGCACTAATCCTATTCCTGAGGGCTCTACCCTCCTGACCTAAGGATCTCCCAAAGGCCCCGCCTTCTAATACTATCACCTTGGGAGTTAGGATTTCAGCATATGAATTGGGGGGGTGGGGGGACACAAACATTTAGATGGTGGCGGTTGTTTTCTGTTTTTCACTGTTACCTGCTTCTGTAGTGAATATTCTTGTGTACTTGGGCAATGATTCAGTAGGATACATTCCTAGAAGAGGTATTCCTTGGTCAAATTTTAAAGTTTGATAGGTACTGTCAAATTGGCCTCCAGAAAAGTTGTACAGCCTGTATGTATGCCAACAATATGTGAGTTCCTTTTGTTCAGTATTGTGTGAAAGGTAAGAGAGCAGAGTGATTAAGAGCTCAGGGTCTGGAGTCAGATTCCTGGGTTTGAATCTTGGCTCTAGGATGCTTTAACTGCGTGCCCTTGGTCAAGTAACTTTGCCTCTCTGAAGGTGATCATGCAGGCCACTGCAGGCAGCAGCCAGACACCAGGGAGGCTGCAGGGAACAGATGGGACCCAATCCCCCCTTTCACCCTTCTTGTTGAATTTCACCTCTATTTGATGGGACAAGTTCATTAAAAACCTACCAGCTCCTGCCCTCAGGGACTAACAGCATTCATTGTATTAATAAAAATTAGAGCTAATGTTTGAATAGCACTTACTCTGAGCCCAGCACTGCTCTAAATATAGATGATAGCTCATTTGGGTACTATAATTATTATCACTATCCCCATTTTCACAGATGAGAAAGGTTGAGGTAATGATATTTTAAAATTTTAACTAAAGTGGCAGAAGGAGGATTTGAATTCAGATGATCACTTTAGCCTTGGTGGCCAGTGGGTGGGGGTGTGAGGCAGGGCAGACGGGCATGTCTGTATTTCTGTATGATAGAATCCTGGAAATGAAATTACAGATTTAAAAGGAATACCTTGCATTTTGATAATACTACCCAGTTTGCCCTGCAAAGAGTTTGAATGAGCAGTGGAGAATCTGTTTTAAAATTTTCTTGGAGTCAATTTCTTCCATCGCTAATTACACAGGTAATTGACTTCTCTTTGTAAAAGGACAGCTGCCAGCCGGCCCTGTGGCTTAGCGGTTAAGTGCGCGCGCTCCGCTGCTGGCGGCCCAGGTTCGGATCCTGGGCGCGCACCGACACACCGCTTGTCCAGCCATGCTGAGGCCGCATCCCACATACAGCAACTAGAAGGATGTGCAGCTATGACATACAACTATCTACTGGGGCTTTGGGGGGAAAAATTGGGGGGGAAAAATGGTTAAGATAGTAATTAAAAAAAAAAAAAAAAGGACAGCTGCACTTGTGGCCTGTGGTCCAAGTAGAGAAATGAGGAACATTGCCAGGGCAAGTGTGCACCCTGAAAGGAATTGGTAACTGTGGAGACCCAGGTGAACTATTTCCTGGTCTCTGAATGGCATTTTGTCTCTCAATCTTAATATGTTGCCAACTGAAATTATTCTCTTCAGGAATAACAGTGAGGATGCAATAATCACAGATAATACCTTCATGCCCAGTATCCACAGATCCATTGTCTTCAGAATGGGTGAGATGATGGAAAGGGCTGCTTTTGAAAGCCTGATGCTGTTGCAAGCTCCTCTGAAAGGCAGGGGTCCTGCGTATACTGGATGCAGCAAGTGCTGTGTTCCAGTGAATTAATAAACTGCAATGACTGAGCAGAGAGCCTGGCAACCATTTTCTAAGTTTGTTGGAAAGTTTGGTCCTAACTGGTCGTCTCAGAATTGAAATTTGAATCATAGCATTGCTACAAGTAAAAACAAATGGATCAAGAATGTCAGAGAACAATCCAATATTCTGGAAGTTCCCAAAAGTTTTTAGATTCACAGGATGCCAAGCTAGCTTTTGCCAGTTTAAGAATGACTTCCTTGCTGCTAGATGCTGAGGTCCATGGCTGGGAACAGTGAGTGATGTGTTTTTATAATTTAAATCCCTGCTTCTTCAGAGTTTGATTTCTCTCTTTATCCTACTCCTGATATCAGTAGCTTTTATTTTACCTTGATTTATATGTGTCTGTGTATTCTGAAGAATAATTGAGGATTTTTTTCAATTACCACATTGAGATAACTCTGCAGGATTACTATACTTAAAAAAAATTTAAAGAATGCTTATATCTTCTTTTTTTTTTTTTTTAAAGATTTTATTTATTTATTCCCCCCCTCACAGCCCCAGTAGATAGTTGCATGTCATAGCTGCACATCCTTCTAGTTGCTGTATGTGGGACGCGGCCTCAGCATGGCCGGAGAAGCCGGTGGGCGCCCGGGATCCGAACCCGGCCCGGCAGCAGCGCAGCGCGCACACTTAACCGCTAAGCCACGGGGGCCGGCCCTGCTTATATCTTCTTATTCATCAATTGTACTTTATTTTAAAATATGATTGTCTACATCTTTCCCTGGTCACTGAAAGAACTTGATGAAATATATAGCTGGATGTAAATGTAGTGAAAGTATAGTGTGGGTTTTCAGCAGGGCATTTTTAAGCACCCACTATGTGCTTGACATTGGGAACACTCAGCTTTCTGTCTCTGGGCTGCACGTGATAGAATTAGCCATTGCCAATTCGTGGAGGAACAGAATTCCTTTACTATAGTGTAATAATTTTGGACGGAGTGTGTGTTAGTCCTGGTTCTCCAGAGAAACAGAAGTAATAGGAGAGGATGTAGGTAACTATTTAGATATAGGTGTAGGTATGAGATTTGTTATAGGGAATTGGCTCATGAGGTTATGGAAGCCGAGAGGTCCCAGGATCTGCATTTGGCAAGCTGGAGACCTAGGAGAGCCGATGATCAAGTTCTAGTCCAAGTCCGAAGGCCTGAGAAACCAGAGAGTTGATGGTCTTGAAGTTCCACTCCTAGTCTGAGTCTGAAGGCAGGAGAAGACCGAAGTCCCAGCTCAAAGATAGTTAGGCAGAGAGAGCAAATTCCCCCGTGCTCAGCCTTTTATTCTATTCAGGCCTTGACTGGGTTGGGCGAGGCCCACCCACTTTGGGAAAGGCAGTCTGCTTTTCGTAGTGTAGCAATTCAAACGTTAATCTCCTCCAGGAACACTCAGAGACACACCCAGAACAATGTTTAAACAAATATCTGGGCACCCCATGGCCCAGTCAAGTTGACACACTAAATTAATAAACACAAAATGTGATGGAATTTTATAATGGCTGTCACTACCCCGGAGAACATAATTGTTCAGTATTTTCCTATTTAATTTAATTTAAAATAAAAATGAAATCTGATTTTAAAAAAAGCAGCCCACACTTAAAAACAGAAATAGATACTCAGCATTATCACCATTTGGGGTAGGCAACATAGTAGTGGAAAGATTGTGAACTTTGAAGTTAGACAGACTGAGGTTTGAATCCCATTTCTGCTGCTTATTAACTGCTGGTCTTTGCTAGTGACTTGTCGGAACTGTAATTTTGTGATCTGCTTTAAAATGAAAGATACCTAGTTCATGGTGGTGTTTAGATTAGAGAAAATGTATAGAAAGTGTTTGGGATGCAGTAGATATTCAATAAATAAAACTAGTCATTTGAAAGTTGACCTTAAGTGATATCATATAGGCCATTTTGTCAGAGTCTTTTGTCCTGAAGTGATTTGACGTTTTTCATTGCGTGATGGCAGTGACAGTTGGCAGTCATCTCAGTTTGTAACTACGTCCTGGAGACGTGCTTATGAATTACTCACTCTAGCTTTCTCTCTTGTTCTTTTGATAGAGTTAAATTAGAAGAGAGAGGAGTTGCTGAGAATCCTGTAGTAGTCAGTAATGGTGACGGTACTCATTCGTTACCTAGAAAAGCAAAGAAGCGGGCATTTAAGTTGGAGGAGGATGAAGAAACTGAACTAGGTTACAGAGACTCAAAGAAGCATTGGAAGAGGCAAGAGAACAATAACAATGAGAGGACCTTGGATCTAGAACCAAGAGCTGTCACAAATCAGAGTGTGAGGAAAAAAAACAAGAGGAAAAACAAAGCCACATATGGTGTAGTGGATGATGATGACGAAGAGACCAAAAGAAAATCACCAAAGAAAAAGGAGAAATGTGAATATAAAAAACAGGCGAAGAATCCCAGGTCTTCTAAAGCACAGACAGTGAAAGAGTGGACCATGCAGAAGTGTAGTCCTCCAAAGGGTTCTCCTGCTAGAAACAGCCTTGTTAAATCCAAAAGGAAAGGAGGCGTGGGCATTCCTACAGAAGAGGGTCCCAGTTCCTCCTCAGAGTCTGAGTCTTATCACGAATCAACCAGTGATGGTCTCAGCAATGCCATCTTGGAGGTCAGAAATTCCTCAGAGAAAACATCCACTGAGTTATCAAAGGAAGGACCCTCTACAAAAAACACAACTGCAAACAAAGTGGCTCCTAAAACTGGCTTTAACTCTACCCCCACCAAGGGCAAGACAACCAGACCATCGTCTTCTAGCTCAGACTCTAGTTCAGAGTCAGACGACCGATGTGCGATGTCAAAGAGCGCCCCGGAGCGGGCTGCAGGTTTCTCAAAGACAGGAGGCGTCTTTGCAGGAAGAGGTTGTCCAGGTCCAGGGCCATCATCACAGACTCCAAATGCTACTGGATGGAAGCACTCTGACTCAAATGGAGGCAGACAGGCTCCTGGGCCTCCTCCCAATGTGACTCTCCCCACCAGTTTGGGAAGAGGTTGGGGTAGAGGAGAGGACTTTCTTTCTTGGAAGGGAGCTAGGGGTCGGGGCCTGCGGGGGAGAGGTCGAGGACGAGGGCACGCTGTTTCCTGTCTTTTAAATAGAAATGCTGACTATCAGAAGCAGCAGCAATTAAATGAAGTGATAACAAATTCATCTACTATTATCCAGGCAAGTATTATTTACTGTGAGTTTACCTCTTCCGTTTTCCACACATAGTGTGTCGGGAGTTGATGCCGTGGGTTCCCAGTTTCTCACTAGTTACAAGTCACCTGACTAATACTGTTTTTCAGAATCCAGTAGAGACACACAAGAAGGACTACAGTCTGTTACCACTGTTAGCAGCTGCCCCTCAAGTCGGAGAAAAGATTGCATTTAAGGTATATTTTAAAACAACAACAAAAAAGATTATTCCCCCTCCAAGTGAGCTTACTCATTAGCAGATCAGGTTAAAGATATTTATAAAAATGCTTCCATGATCATATCTTTCGTGTTCTCTTGTCTAGTTCAGTAATGGTTTTCGGAATGAATAAAAATGGCTTAGCCTGGTGTCTGGGACATAGCAAGGCTTAATGAACAAAGGCTATAGGTATCACGAGAAAACCCCCCAAAACCCAGGAAAGCTCTCCCACTGGAACCCTTGTTTTGCCACAGGTTCCTGGTAGGGCTCCCGCAGTGGTGGAGTGGGCACCCCAACACTGCATGTGTTCTCAGGGGTCGGGGAGAGGAGCCACAGGGCTTGTGAATTTGTGGGCTTTTTCTTCTTTTTTAGCTTTTGGAACTAACATCCGATTATTCTCCTGATGTCTCTGACTACAAGGTAAGGCTGTTTATTTAAAAACAATTGTGTCAGTATATTAAAGAAGCTAAAGTTGTATTTAATACTGCTAATATGGATAATATAGTTTTTTTTGAGTAAGTAATGTCATAAAGTAGAAAATGAGAACATCAAATTGTAAACTTTTTACTAGTATCACTTTGAGATCTCCCAGTGTTATTTTCCTTAGACTTTGAAAGAATATAGAATGAGAATGATGAGTTTAATTTTTTTTAGTTATTTTTTTCTGATCAGCTTAGACATACAAACTTATTTGAGTATCCCTTCCCCATGATCCTAAACTTTGAGAGAAAATAACAAATAGCTCTCAGCCAGAAAATTTTATTATTTTCATCATAAGAATCTATTTTATATATTTGTGAATTACTACTGATATGGTCTGATATGGTTTCTTTTGCATTATCAGTTAACCACAGGTAATTCACAAATATTATCCTTGGCATTTACTCATTTAGTATCTGTATGAGACTTCATATTGGACTATGAGCTTTATCACACATCAATAAAAGCGTGACTCAATGAGATTACAGAATTACATGTTTGCTTCCCTTTTTCACTCATTCAAAATTTTGTTGAAAATCTTGTTAAAATACATACTTTCTTATTTTGTTGTAATATACAGAATGTAAGTCCATTTTTAAGAAGTTATAATTGGTAATATTAATATAGTAATACAGATAAAGTACAAAGAGATTTGATTTAATCTGAGTTGATACCTTGGAAGACTTAAAATCTTGGTAAGAACATTTTTTCAAAAGCAGGCTAGAAGAACAATCAGTTCGTGAAGGGATTTGGTCGGTTAGTTCTGGGTAATTGGTGTTTTATCATATTTTTCATCTTCTTAGCTGTTTATTATAGGTGACCATATAATTTATCATCTAAATGAGGAAACTTGTGAGTGAAAAGGATTAATATTATATCAATAATTATACTGGAAGGACATGTGAACAGGCCTGTCTTGGCAAACCAGGTTGTTTTGTCATGCTACCATAGATAACTAATTTAATTCTGTGATGTATGAGGAAATGGAGATAAATATAGAATTGATACGTCCCACAACCTCTACAAATTGTGATTCTAGGTGATATTGATTTTTTAAAATGCATATTAAATGGATGTTGGTCATCATAGTTATTACCTTGGAAAGCTGTCTGCTTTATTTCTGGCTATTTTTAGAACTTTTTTGAAATTGCTTTCAAAACCATTTCGAGAGTGGATATCAATCCCTCTTTTTTACTTTGACCTCGAGTGTTGTTATCCAGCTTGATCACTGGCTTCATCATTAAGCTTGTCTTCAAAAGTCAGATCTATCATCAGAGAATGTTGTCTCCTCGGCCCCTAACCTGTCTCATTTGTACCTGTGGGATTTTAATTTATGGAAGTGACTGAGGGACAACACAGAGAAATCAATGCTATTGAAAGAGGAATTTATTACGTACATTTCCCAAGAGAAGGGGGAATGCCACGGCACCTCAGGGGAAAGCGCCTGGGTGTAGGCAGGAGGCAGGAGCAGGAGTGAGGGGAAAGCCTAGGCCAGAGCCTTTAGTGGGCTTTCCTTGGGCAGGCAAGGCAGGGTGGGGAAAACGGTGTAGGATCGGCTAGTTTGAATAATTAGCAGGGTTTGGGCTATAGGGGTGGTCCCTAGTTGTGTGTACCTGACCATAGGAAGATTTAGACCAGGGGAAATACTGGCTTGGTGTGTGGGAGTTTTATTTCCCCTACATGTTGATTTATTTTTAAATGTTTTTAATTGAGATAAAATTCACATAACATAAAATTCACCCTTTTAACCATTTTAAAGTGTACAGTTCAGTTGTTTTAGTATATTCACAATGTTTCACAGGATGACTTTTGACTTGGACTTTTATTTTTGAAAGGAAGGAAAAATATTAAGCCACAATCCAGAGACCCAGCAAGTAGATATAGAAATTCTTTCATCCTTACCTGGTGAGTCTTCTAGAAAAGAATTTGAAAATTTTGGCTCTTCATATCTAAATTGATTTCTAAATAGCTTTTACACATAGGAGCTGCTCTCTTCACTGGCTGCCTTGATTAACTGGCGCTCTCCACTACCTCTGTCAGCATAAAACAGTCCGGGGGGTGGGCCTGTGCTCCCACTAGTGGAGTTGTGTGTCTACTAAGAGTTGTTGGATTTGTTCCCAAAGCTGTTAGGCAAGTTGTTCTTATTACTGTAAATATGTAATTTCATAAAAATTACATAAACTGATGAAAATTGATTGCAAAAAGAATTATTTCTATGAAACTTAAGTTGAATGCTGACTCAGGAGCGTTACTAAAAAATTTGCTATTGAATTGTGTGTGGGTGGGTCAGCTATCAGAGATTGGGAGGAATTCGGTAACTAGGAAGCTTCTGCACTTAGATTGCCTTGCTAGTTTTGCATTCTGGCATCACTTTAAAAAACTCCAGACTGGAAATGGTGGAAATTGCAGACATACATTAAGAATATGGTTTATAAAAGAAGGACAGCTCTAGTCCTTGGACTCATAAGACTGACTCAGCTCTGTTGCAAAAGATTGGCAAATGCACATACTTCTGTGTGTTAAGTCAAAATAAAATGTCTAAAGTGTATGTGTATACACTCACACATTATTTTAAATGGTTCCCTGCTTTATCCCTGATTCACCGCACCCATTATTGGTTCTGAAATCCTGGAATAAGAAGGCTTTTACTGTATATGGCTTAACTTGGATTGTGTTGTAGGCATCCCTTGCCAGAGAGCAGGGGAGATCTCTTTCTTTAGCAGACTCTAAGGGAATTAATTATCTTCTATTTGTGTTTAAATAAGATAGTCAGTAGAAGATTCAAAACTCCAGTACACAAAAATCAGTCAAAAGGGTGTTTCAACAAAGTCCCTTTCTGATTAGACATAACTTACACTGGTTTTCCAGCTTTCTTCTGATTAGGTTTCATTTGAAGAAATCCCCCTTCTCAGGAAGGATGGGTAGAGAAGTTTGTCCATGGTCACATTCCATGGACACAGCCTGATCACCGCTTATCAGGTGATTGACTCTGATGACGTTCAGTTAGAACTTTTCTTCTTTAGGGCATCAAGAAATGGCTTTATCTGTTCTCTATGGAAATGTGGGTAGTCCTCACTTTTCATGGATCTGATATACATGAACTTCAGTTACCAAGGTTTAGTTCAATAACACCAGTCCCCCAACGACGTTGGGTATGTTAACTGTTAACTGAGTAATTGCACAAAGTACTGCTAGCTCTTCAGTCCACAAGTCACTGTGTAAATAACAGACCGTCATGATCAGTGACCAGTCGCATCACTTCTTTCAGTCTCTTGGTGATTGGTCACTGTGCATCTGTTACTCAGTTCCCGTACACACAGCAAAGTGTGTAGTTGTGCTACCTCCTTGTCTCGGTGATAAACCTACGTGACATTTTACAAAAATGCATAATTGAAATAGGAAGCGGGCCAACCAACAAAGATGAAAGCACAACAAAGAAACAAAAAGCAAACATGCTGGAAGTGACATCCAAGTAGAATTTCAGTGGAATTATACAAGAAATAGCTAACCGTGGGAATGTTGACTCTGCGGTTTGCGTGAACTTCTTACATAAATGAGGAAAGTGGTTGTGACAAAAGGGATGAAGATGTCCCAGGAGTGACATCAGCAAAAAAACTTCACAAAATTGTGAAAAAGAAACAAACTCTCAGAGCTATTTCATGACATTAAATGCTCAAAGGATAAAATATTGAAAGCTGATCCAAACTTAGGAGTATGACAGCTCTACAAGGCATAGAAGAAATTCTCACTCTGTATCGTTACATGACAAGAAGGCAAGTGCTGTTCAAACTACCCTTGAAAAGTGTCTTACAAGAAAATAGAACACTTTAATTCTCAGTGTTTCTAGTGTTTTAAATTACAGTGTACTACATAAATATTAGTTTTACAATTTTTTCATTTCCCTATACAGTGAAGGTTTTAATGTTTTGGTAAAAATTTTTAAAGATGGTCAGACAATCATAATTTTTCCCATTGATTATTAAGATTGTTTCGTATGATTTCAGCCTGCGTGGTCATTTTTATGATCCCACATTACCATGCAAAGTGAGGACCACTCTATTACCAAGTAGTAAGCCTGTGTAATTTCTGAGAACAGAGCAAGATATGAGAATTTTGCAGAATTCATATTACCTTCCCCTGTTGAAACATATCAATTATCTTTTGGGATTATCTTGTGGTTGCACATTCTTTTCTGGGAGTACGAGTGACAATGTATCACGCTCGTTTCTTTTTGATGAAGGAAAGATTGTCTCTGATAAATGGCCAGGAAGCTCCCATCTGCTGGTGCAGGGTTTTCTAAGGGCCTCTTGTCACTGAGCACTCCATGCCTTCACGTGCATACCCAGCCTCCACATCAAGGGACAGTTTGTTTGTGGTTGTTTTTCTAATGATATAAATTCCCTGTAGAGGAACATTTTCGCCACTGGGAAATGACTTATTGCCTCTGCCTATCATCTGGTTTCAGCCGTGAAAGAACCTGGGAAATTTGATTTGGTTTATCACAATGAAAATGGAGCTGAGGTAGTGGAGTACGCTGTGATGCAGGAGAAGAGGGTAGGTGCACTTCTCTTGGGGTTGCTTGGTCGTCCATTCTCTCTCGACTGGTTACTGGTGATCTGGAAAGTGACATGGCAGCTTCCTGAACTGCCTATCTTAAAATCACAAAGGATCATAGGCCCTGGGGATCTCTGTCCTGCCTACAGGGTGACAATAACAGTGCCAAGTGCCAAGTTAGGGCACCACCTTGGACCCAAAGAGGCTACTTGACAAGATGCACAAATAACAAACTCTTTTTTAAGAGTATAGAGTTGCATAAAATCATAGTTATATAAGGGTTTCAGTAGAAAAGAGTAACATATTTTAAAAACTTTTTATTGACATGTACATTCAGAAAGGTTGCCAAAAGCATATAGCTATAACAGTTTTCACGAATGAACTTACCCATGTAACCACACCCAGATCAAGAAGTAGGACATTAACAGCCCCTCTGGAAGTCTCCGTCATGTCTCCTTGTAGTCAGTACTACCCCCTAAGTGTTCCACAATTCTGACTTATAACAGCATAGAGAGTTTTGAAGAATGACATAAAATGATGATTCTATCTTTTGACTTTGTTTAAATCCTTCAGTTGCCATTTTAGGAAGTATGTGGTTTAGAGCTTTTTAGGTAGCCAGACTTCCAGAGTTGCTGGCAATGGCTGGCTCGTTAGGCTATGCCAGCATTGAAGTAAAAAGAATTTATATTTAAGAAAATGCTTCCTCTTAAGGTGTTTATATTTGAAATGTTGTGGATATTATTCTCTAAGTTTCAGTAATGCAAACTCTCACTTCATCTGAAATGTAAACTTGTAGAAACTCTATCCAGACTGTATGTTTTGCTTTGTCTTTAGGATAGATGACACTCTTAGGGATTTATTCCAAAAACACATTTTTGGGGTCTGTGGTACAATCAGCAGATTTGGCCGTCTCTGGTGCTTCCGTAGTTGCAATATATGCAGCCCCACTTTTTTGTTGAAATGTATTCTTGGAAACTGCATTGGAAAATTAAACCTTGGAGGCTGTCCTCTATGCCTCGTGAAACAGAGGCCTGAAGTGGGGCCTGTAATTACCTTTTGTGACACTAGGTGGCCCTCGTTATTCATCCATATGGCCAGGTGTTAGAGTTTGCTTTCTCTTGGTAAAATGTGAAATACCTCCCATGTTTAGGCAGCACGAGATAAGAACCACAGAGCTGTGCAAAAGGGCATCACAGTCTGGTGATAACCCTTCTGGGCCACCTCTGCCTCCTGAGAGGTCTGTGGGCCGCCTGTCCACAGACACTTGTCGGGCAAATCCTCCTGACCCCTTTGGAACCAGCTGCCCCCACAGCCCCTGCTCTAAATCAAAGAAAGATGGATTATGTTTAATGTAAAATTTAGCTGCATGCTAGGTAAACAAGTTCTTATACCTAATTGAACTCAGTTTACTGGGACTCAAATTATTCCAGGTCTTCAACCATTCTGTACAAATGGAAATTTACTTGACTGAAGTTGTTAACTGACCGAAACCTATATGACCTCCAAATAAAGTCTCTAAACTGAATGCCTTGTGTTTTTCCTCAGATCACTGTTTTTTGGAGAGAGTTGATTGATCCAAGACTGATTGTTGAATCTCCGAGTAAGACATCAAGGACAGAGCTTGCCTGAGTGTGACCTCTCCACCTCATAGTCTATAAATGTCTTGTTTGTGAAAGTGACTATAACCTGAACTTTAAAAAAAAAAAAAGATTTGAAAGTTGTATGCATTTGTTGTCATCTTCACTTTACTGCATAGGAAAACATCTACCTCATCATTTAAAGTAACATGGGTGTTGCTTTTGTAGCCTCCCCCACCCCCTTTTCAGGTTTAATTTTAGTAACAAAATTTAAAACATGACATTCCCTGCAGGCATTGTTAGTTACCAATAGGTATGGTTTCTTCTCTTTTTATATATTTTTTGACCATCGAGTAGCCATCATCAGTAGGAGTTTATAATACCGAGGAGTACAGGAAAGTGCTGCGTATCTTGTCTCAGTAAGTTTTATTAAGTAACATTTTAAAACATGAAAGCATGTTACTTGACCTAATTTTTTAAATTTGAGTTGTTCCATTAAATGTGGAACATCTTATAAATTTAAAGTATTTTATACTTGTAATTGTCAAGAATTAACAAGTAGTTGGGTTTGTGGCAGGCCGTGAATTAAGGAATCCTTTCACATTTTTCTCAACTTTAAAATTAAGGATTCTCAGGGCCATGTGTAGAGCCATGTGTAGAGCAGAGAAAGCAGAGCTCTTATGTGTGTGCCAGGGGAAGAACTGGTTCCACTTGGCTGAAAGGATTTCCTGCGAGTTCAGACCAGGAAATGTGTTATCTTGCTACAAGATCCCAGGCACCTAACCGAGTGTGCTGGAGAGAGGATCTTGAACAGAGACTTCCTTTTCTGTGATTATTCAACACAAAGCTAAAATGGCTAAATATATACTGTGAAATTGCTTTCTTTTAACAAAAGATCAGATCCCTCCTTCAGCTTTGCAGATTGTTAAATAAAGTCATATTGAACTAAACTTCCATGCTGAGTCATCATGTTTAGTTGAGTATTGCAGATCGCTATCTTGTTTTATGATAATGTGAGAGATTAAAATTTTCCAGAACAAGAAGGTTTGCCTAGACTAAAGAGTCTGGTGTTGCAAAGTTTAGTCCAGCGGAGTTCATTAGATTATCATCAGGGAAATGCAAATCAAAATGCAAATCAAAACCACAATGAGATATCATCTCACACCCAGTAGAATGGGTGTTATCAAAAAGACAAGATGTAACAAGTGTTGGTGAGGATGTGGAGAAAAGCGAGCACTTATGCACTGTTGGTGGGAATGTAAATTGGTGAGCCACTATAGAAAACAGTATGGAGGTTCCTCAAAAAATTAAAAATAGAACTACCATATGGTCCAGCAATTCCACTTTTAGGTATTTATCCAAAAAAAATGAAAACACTAACTTGAAAAGATATCTGTCCCCTCTCCCCGCCATGTTCATTGCAGCATTATTTACAATAGCCAAGTGTCCATCAGTAGGTGAATGGATAAAGGAAATGTGGTTTATATAGATAGATAAAATTCAGCCATAAAAAAGAATGAAATCTTGCCATTTGCAACAACATGGTTGGACCTTGAGGTCATTATGCTAAGTGAAATAAGTCAGGCAGAGAAAGACAAATACCATATGATCTCACTTAGATGTGAAATCTAAAGAAAAACAAAAAAACTGAACTCATAGATAAAGAGCACAGATTGGTGGTTGCCAGAAGTGGGGGAAAGGGGTGGGTGAAATGGGTGAAAGGGATCAAAAGGTACTCCAGTCATAAAATAAATAAGTCATGGGGATGTAATGTACAGCATGGTGACTATAGTTAATACCATATTACATATTTGAAAGTTGCTAGGAGAGTAGATCTTAAAGTTCTCATCATAGAAAAAAAAAACTTTGTAACTACGTGTGGTGATGGATGTTAACTAGACTCATTGTGGTGATCATTTCACAATGTATACAAATATTGAAACATTATGTTGTACGCCTGAAACTAATATAATGTTATATGTCAACTGTACCTCAATTTAAAAAAAGTAACTAGTAAACATTGACTAGTCCAAAGGGAAGTGTAGACCTCAGGGTGTTTTCTTCAGATCATAATCAGTTTATGAATCATCCTTTTCCTCTATAATGGTGTTTTTCAAACTATGAAGAGCAGTCTACTAGAAGGGTCATGATATCAATTTAGGGAGTCATGACCTGCATTTTGAAAAATGAAATACAATAGAATAGAAAAATAAGTAGTGCACCACATCCAGTAAATTTGTTTGTTTTATGAAACAATTTACATATAGCCATGTGTAATGTAAATGTATTTCTTTTTTTTTTTTTTTTTTTTTTAAGATTTTATTTATTTTATTTTTTCCCCCCAAAGCCCCAGTGGATAGTTGTATGTCATAGCTGCACATCTCTCTAGCTGCTGTATGTGGGACTCGGCCTCAGGATGGACGGAGAAGTGGTGCCTCGATGCGCACCCGGGATCCGAACCCAGGCCACCAGCATCGCAGCGCGCGCACCCAACCACCAAGCCACAGGGCCGGCCCGTAAATGTATTTCTTACTACTTGAAATCAGAGATGTAATTGTCAGATGGTATTCCAGGAATGAGAGAGAAGAGCGGAGATGAAAACAAAGGGGCCAGGCAAAAAAGTACGTGCCAGGGGCTAAATCTTTGCCTCCCTGCTCCTGGGCTGGTGGACCAGCACTGTTCTAGATGAGGAAAATAGCAAGTATGCAGATGCCAGCTATTATTATTATAGGATTATTCTATGGGCTTAATGTAGTAACTTGTCTGACTCCTCTCAACTCAATATTGAATAAACTTGCCAAAGACCACCCAACCAGAAAAGGGAGAGTCTAGTGTAATTTGAGAGCAGTATTCTTTTTCCCTGGGATGTTATGATGGCTGTCCCTAAAGTGGCTCTGTCCTGGCCTGAGTGTAAGCAGCGGTAGGGTGCCTTCTTCTAGTTTCCTCCACTGCTGCTTTTGTCCTTGGCAACAGGAACCTTCTGGCTAATTACCTTTTTGCCATCACAATTCGGTTTTGTCCATCTTCAGGTTGTCTACTCACCATTAAGTTGATTAAATTCTTTTTTTTTAATTGAATGTTTATTTTTATTATTTTTTGTTTGGATTAAAAAAATTATTTTAAACTGCTTTTTTCATGTATAATTGATATACCAAAAACTGCACATACTTAATGTATTCAATTTGATGAGTTTGGACATATGCATACACTCGTGAAACCATCATCACAATCGAGGTAATAGACATGCATCATCTCCAAAAGTTTCCTCCTGCCATGATTTTTTTGTTTTTGTTTTTGTGGTAAGAACACTAAACATGAGACCTACACTCTTAATGATTTTTTTAAGTGTACCATACAGTATTGTTAACTATGTTACACAGCAGATCTCTAGAACTTATTCATCTTGCATAACTGAAACTTTATACCCATTGAACAAGAACACCCCACTCCCCCCTACCTCTAGTCTCTAGAAACCACCATTCTCTGCTTCCATGGGTTTGATTATTCTGGATACCTTACATAAGTGGAATCATGCAGTATTTTTCCCTCTGTGACTGGCTTATTTCATGGAGCATGATGTACTTTTGTTCCTCCGTGTTGTTGCATATGGCAAGATTTCCTATTTTAAGGCTGAATAATGTTCCATCGTAGGTTTTTACCACATTTTTTTATCCATTCATTCGTGGATGGACATTTAGGTTATTTCTACATCTTGGCTATTGTAAATAATGCTGCAATGACCGTGTCACCGTTAAGTTCTAAACTGCTTTAGCTCTCAGATGTTCAACTCTGTATAAAACGACTCTGACCCTGACTTCAGCAGTCCAATATTCCACTGGACCTTTTTCCCCTGCTTCTGAAACCTTCAAGCTCTCCAACTCCATTCACATCGCTGACAGGGTTGGTCTCTTTTTTGCTATCCTCATCTTGGATACCGTGGTGGTAACTTCATTACCTGTTAACTTGTTTTTAGCTACGTCCAAACCTGGATTGATTGGAGCATTCCCTCCCTACCACTTTAACTGTTCTGAAGGGATGATGTCACACAAACTTCTTTCACAGGTGAAAGTACTAGCCCACTCAAAATGTAGGTACTATTTGGTTCTAATTTTCGCCTTCTTTATTTATACTTGAAAGATCTTTCCAACTTTCTCCTTCAACCCATAGCTTCCTTCCCCCATGTCAAGTAGACAGCTCTTGCCGTTCACAAGGTCGGAGGACTGGCAGGAACGTGTGCTCCCTCACTCCCTCTTCTCATTCCCTTCCTTTCACAGTAATGACTGTACTGGTTGGTTTTTCTTCCTCGGTGACTGTTCTCAGCTCTTGCTCTCAAGGCCTGCTCTATCAGTCTAGATCCAGTCGTGACAGAGAAACCACACAGTAATTCAAACAAAAAGATCAATATAAAGAGTTACTAACTACAACAGGGATTGGAATAATGAGGGGCTGGCTATTAAGAAATAAAGAGAACTCTAAACAATATAGGAATAGCAGATATGAGGAGCAGCACTACCCTTGGGGCTGAGAAAGAGTCCCCAAGGAAGAGCCCCCAACACCCCTATCCCCGGGCTGTGATCAGACCTTGTTGAGAGGTCGTGGCCATCCTCACTGAAGGGCAGAGACCTCACTGTGATGCTGCACCAGCAGAACTTGCTGGAAATCCACCATCTTTCAAATGCTAACACATTTAATTATACAATATTTAAAAATTACATTTATTAATATTGGCAAATATCTGATCTCATCAGAAAATCTTTTTTAGGTATTGGGAAGCTTTCAGTTCACTATAGCATTTTCAAGTTTTCCAAAATTCTAATTTTTGCTTGAAAGCTCAAATTTTTTCATTGGCAACTAACACTGTCAGTTGTTCTCCTTGAAGTGAGAGGCTCACTTCGTTCATTGTCAAGAAAATATCTGCCAAGACCCATGTCTGAATGACCACAGGTTTTCTGTCAATAATGATTTCAAGTAACAATGGTGGTCCATGAAAAATGTGGGCAGTTCAGCTCATGACACAACAATTGCACGAGTGCTTTTCCTTGAGGCACCCATTGTACTTTAGTATGCAGCAGCAGATGTGCATGATTTAAGGGTCACGATTTAATAACAATAATTGTCTCTGCTCCATCAAGGACATTCTTAAG